ATTGGCTAATTTAAATGAATTCGCTACTAGTATATTATGTACATTTGTATATGTATATTATGTATACATATGTTCTTATTTCCGAGCTACCGCTGCTTTGAAGCTGCTTATAAATATTGTATTAACAAACATTTTTCGTACCCATTGCTTCTGTATATCTGTACAACTACTAGGGGCAAAAAGTTCCTAAATGTTAACTAATAGTAATTCTTCATTTTTCGAAATCGGAACACATGAAAATTGTAAATTTTCCTTCTTTTTTTGAATTTATGTTAATTTTTTTTAAAACCACCTGCTTAGGAAAAGTGCATCTTTATTTTAAAAATAAAACAGCAATCTTGCTGAATGTTTAGTATTAAAGTAGTTGAACTTTGGAAAAGTAAAAGGGCTGTTTTGTCATACACCCCACGTATGAATGTACTATACGTGTGTTTGTTGCTTATCTTGTACTGCAAAGTGCTGTCATGCTGACGTCATGCCGGCAGGGTGGAGCGTCAATGACTGGCAAAAAGCAACCCCCATACGCATAGACATACGCATGGGCATCGGCATCGGCATCGGCATAGGCAAAGGCATGGACAAGCTTTCCGTTTAAGTCCGTTCAAAGGCCAAACGCCAACACCAGTCAGAGCCACTTGGCCCAGTTGTCGGTACTTAGCTTTGCACAGCTGTGCAGACCGAAGCGAAGCGGCCCACGCACCCAATTAAGATCAAGCGCTCCCAGTAGCCACCGCCAGCAGAGACAGCAGAGACAGCAGTGGCAGAGCTATTGGGTTACAGTTTAACTTGCGCCGGCTGGTCATTCGTTTCATTTTGTATGCGGCATTTAAAATTATTTATTAGCGGCCAGACCTCGTCGTGTTGCCCAGCGGACATGAAGAGACATGCAGTGGCGGCAAAAACGAGGCGGGCGCGTATCAAATGTTTGGTTCGTTTTCAGTATTTTGGCATTCTTTTTTTCATTCCAATGTTGTTGTTTGTTTTTCAGTTTTGTTCGTTTTGGGTTTTGCCAAGAATACCAAACAAACGGGCCAAGCCGGCCCAGACAGCCAAAAAGAGCTAGACAACGAACGCGTTTAGAACGGCAACAGAGGCAACGAAAGCCCCGGCGCCGACGACGTGGACAACAACGACGACGACAACGACGACGACGACGACGAAGACAGCGATGTCAACGTCGCTGCTTGGCGACAGCAATTTACCTTTAAACGAATGCAAAAGTATGCGTAAAAAAAGTAGTCACAAAAGTTGTTGTAGCAACAACAACAACAACAACAACAACATCAGCAACAGCCCAGTCTACAGTCTACAGTCCGGTGGGAGCTATAAATAAGCTCCGCAAAGCTGTGCCATAAATCATAGAAGACGCACGAGTGTCGAGTTATTATGCGATCATATTTTAATTGCCGGATTATTATTATGCGGCATGCCACTGCACAGCAAAATCAACTTCAACTGTCAGGCCGGGCGCTGAATGCTGACCAACTGCAGGTTCCTAGCTCCCAACTCCCGGTTCGCGGCTAGGACATACGAGTATAGCCACGTTTTGGGCCGGCCCGGCCAGACAAGCGCCATGGTCAGAGCACAGACAGAGACACAGACACAGACTCAGACCAAAACACACCAAACAGACAGAGGCGGTCAGACGGCCGGACAAACAAACAAACACAACATACAAACATGCAAGCAAAAACAAAACACCTGCAATGCATTTTCCGAACGCCCGGCAGTCTGAGGCGGCGGCAGTTTGCTTGGACAGGTGCGTGCGTAAGTGACCAACACACAGAGTTGCAGATTATGCCCATACAGTGGCAGTCACTTCAATAGGTACACCACGCCTCCTACCCATAAAGCTTACTTGAACTTAAGGCGTTCTAAGGCTTTATTTCAGTCCAAAATAATGGCAGGCATTGTTGTAGTCTGCAAGTGTGTTAGTTGCTAAAATTATATTTTGTACAATTTATTGGCCCTTCAAGATCCCCATCCAAAGCATTACTGATTGCAATTACATAGCAGGATTAAGGTAATATTGCAAAAAATTGAAAACCATTTCTGCTGCTTAACATTCCATATTATTAGTATGAGTTTAAAACTAAAGCAAATTTATACGAGCAGGTTGGTTTGTATTTATTTTTCCAATAATTGAATGTTGTTGCTTTGGTTAGGAGATTATTGCTTTTTTAGGCACTGCTGCCGCTACAATGAAATCATAACTTTAAAATAACTTCAGTTTATGTAACGTAAATATTTCTAATAGTTATGAAGTACTTATTAATTCATAATGATGGCTTAGCTCTGTTTTATGTTACTTTCAAATACATAGCACGTAGGTATGAACAAAGTTATTATTGTATTAATTTCTTTATTTGTGTCAGTTCTAGGTATTAAGACCTAAATATTCCGCACTTTGGACATTATAAAAATTCAAAATTAAGAGCCGCAAGAATTGTTTTAATTTTGCGTTCATTTTTCTATCCGGGTTGCCAAAGTTGATTTTTGTTTGTTCTTTTAATGATAATTTTAGGCTCCATTTGTTTTATTTTATATTTATTAGTTTGGCATCTAAACAAATAAACACGAACCTGAATGGAAAACGTGAATCAGAGGCTGGCTACTCATAGTTGCCCATAAGCAGGATGGTAATAAAATGAGTTACTTAAAAGGAGTTCGACCAAAAGTTGCAGAAAAGGCGATCGGATTTGAATTTATTATAAACTGACTAATCGCACATCAAAGAAAACTAAAATCAATTGATTCGATGGCTGGTTAACCTATTCAAATGGCTGCTATTTTACTTAAGTGTCTGTGCTTAGGTGTGTGTGTGTGTGTGTGTGTGTGTGGATGCAGTTGGAGCGGCACTGAGGCCAACTGCAACTGCAACTGTTGTTGCTGCAGTTTGGGGGCTGTTGCGACTGTTGCTGCTGCTGCTGCTGTTGCCGTTTGCTGTTGTAGGAAACGAGTTGGCCGCGTGTTGGCAAAACTGGTATGGTTGCATTTTTATAAAGCGGCAGCAGCAACAATAACAACAACAGCAACAACAACAGCGACAGCAAAAAAGCGACACCTATGTCGTCCGCCTGCCCAGATGTCGTCTAGAGACTGCTAGTGACTGTCATCCAGCCTCAGCCTACTGTCGCACAGTCCGTCCAGTCGTCGGCTCCTATATGACTCTCTTTTATTTTATTTCGATTCTTTTTTTCTGCCATGCACATTTCAGGCATACCAGCGTAACAACAAATGTGTACATTCATATTAACCGATGTACGAGTGGATGTAGATGTACTATAGATGTAGGTACTACTGTCTCGTCCTGTCTCTGCTACGCACACGCACTCGCACATATCCAGATAGTAAAGTAGTTATTACCAACAACATTTCTTTCTTTTTATGTTTTTCATACGACTGCGAATGAATGTTTGTGGCTCTGTATGTATGTGCGTTTGTTTGTTTGTTTGTCTTCATTGCCGTCGGTTGTAATTTTTTGTGCAGTTTTGTCATTTGCCGTTTACTTTGTTGTCTTTAATGAATGTGTATTGTAATATGCCGTTTTAGAGCGACTTTTTTTAAAATTTTTTTATTATTATTATTGTTATTATGGCAGATAATAATACAGGAAATCGTAGGCAATTACATTAAACAGTCACACGGCTGTGTGGATTTCTTGCCATTTTTGTTTTAGAGAGATCGCCATGACTTGGTAGTCAAGCATGTCGAGAAGTTTGCAAATCAATTTCACATGAGAAGCGATAACGCAATCAAACTACAAGTAATTCGCTCCAACAGCTATTTAATGCTGATAAAAGTATTAAGTACATAATTGTGTGCATTGCAAATCATTGCGAAAATACTTGTAACTACTATTTCACAACAAGAGAAAATTTTCGGCAAATTGTGCGAAGACCAGCATCTCTTTTAATTTAATGTAAAAGTTTCTTAGCGATATTCGTATGAAGGTAGATTTTATTAAGAAAATTTTGAAATAGACTTAGAAAAACTTCTTTATACTATATTCAAAAAGTGAAAGATATAATTTGAAATTTTATAATTTCTTTTCTTTTATATACTTCTTGGCTCTAAAACTGATGTGAAACACAGTTTTAGGAGTATTTTTCACACGAAATCTATTTGTAATTTTCGGCTATATTCAAGTTACCCGATGTTAGGCAAAATTATTGGCGAAATAGTTATTTCTTTTCCTTTTGCATTTCGATAAAATATTTAATCTGTGCAGAATAAAATAAAATCCTGCAGTTTTGTATATGCTGCTTTTTTATTTTCTATGTGAATAGGAAATATTTCTGCCGCTATAATATGTATTTATGTATTTCTATCTTAATCACTAATGCCTCATTTGAGATTCGTAAAACTAAATCCAAGTATTATAATTACTGTAAATGATCTACCTTATATGGTTCAGTACAAAATACTATGCAGATTTTATATTTATTATTATTTTATGTTTTTTTTTGTTAAATGCAAACATATGTTTGCATAATTTTGTTTCGCTTTAAATAGTCATTCGAATGCCTCCGCACGCAGTAGAAATGGCAAACATTCGTGGTTTTTGAATGTACTCGTATAGTATTACGTACATCTGTATGTATGTATGTACATACGTATAGTATATCTCGTCCGGAATCGGCTTTTCGCAAATATATGGACGTTTGTCTTGATTTGCTAAACATTTGAGCCGTACGGGGCACTAGCAAATACACATACATACATACATATACATACATATACATGTATGTATGTATGTTCATACGGGTACATATGTACAAGTATTGCACATACTCGTGTAGAAAAAGTGATAATAATATTCAAACAATTAAACTTTTTTTTGGCGAACTGTTGAAACAACAATCGCAGATAGCGAAATGTTTATACCCGTATGTACTCGTATGTGTTCATAATAATAATAATAAAACGAAATCGCGTAACAACAATGGCAATGCGTAAAACAGATTAATTGCAAAGGAAAATAAAGATGCAAAGTTTACCAGTAATTACACTTCTCGGCTGGATCTGTCAGTCGGGCTGGGCTGTTGGGCGGGCGGTCTGATCGTTGGGGCGGTACTTTCAGCAATTCAATGCGAAAGCGCACAATTGCAGAGACGCAGAGACAGACGAAGCGGCGACGCCTGTGGCGGCAGCGATGTTGTTGTTGGCAGCGACGAAGGCGGTGGTGTTGGCGGCGGTTTGAAATCGACAGCGGCAGCAGAAACAGAATCGAAAATTAATTATGCTTGACATGTTGCCTGCTTGCCAGCCGGCCGGAGGAGTCGCCTAGTAGTTGTAGAATTCTTCAGTGCTGCTGTTGCTATGTTTCTTGTTGTTGTTGTTGTTGTTGTTGTTGTTATTGTCGATATGAATCGCATTTTCAATTGCTTTGTTCTACTGCTGCTTGTTGTAGCTGTTTGTTGTTGTTGTTGGGCCTGCCTGCCTGCCTGTCTATATATCTGTCTATCTGTCTGTCTGTGTGTCCAGACCGTAGATGTCTCTGCCTGTCTATTTGCGTGAATGTGAACTGTAATTTGTATGTTTTTACACACACACACACGCACTCACACACTGGCTCACCTAGGCACCAACAGACCTACACACGCACACTCACTAAGGCATAATTTATTTAAAGCAAGTCACTCGATCGCGCGCGCGCTTCTTTTATTTCAATTGCAATTTTCGCGCCTCCACTCAACTCCACTCCACTCTTCTCGTTTCGGCTCAGCTCGTCTCGGCTCGCTCGCTTATAAGTATGTATGTATATACTTATGTTTTACAGGCTGTTTACACGCTTTTAAAGGCCGTTAGTTTATATTGTAGAACAGCAGTACAATAATTAATCTAGTATTTATTTACTTTCTACTGCGGCCACGCGCCAAACAACATACACACACTTTCTCACACACTCTCAGAAACAGAGGCGTTGCTTGCTTCCGCAGGATGCTCGAACACAGAAGCTACAGATTACGCATACGCCACGTTGTACAAAGCAAGTTGGACTAAGGGCGCTTGTTAGCGCTGTTATTGTTTTTTGTTATTGTTATTTTTTGTTATAGCTGCTACTGCTGCTGCTGTCTATTTGCATATGAACTAAATTCAATGCAATTTATGTAAATCGTTTTATTTTCCACCAGTGACAACAAAGGCAAATGAAATTGCGCGCCAATTTGTGCTTACAAGTCGCTTTTCCGACAACACAAATCGTAGCGTTGGTACAAAGTGTGTGTATAAGTATCACAACAATTTGTGATTTTTAATTTTGTTGTAGTTGCGAAAACAACATCAACAACAATAATGAAGATGCTGTGAGTTTAATAAAAGCTAAACACAAAACTTGTATTTAAATACGCGCGCGCGATAACAACTTTTTTCACTTTTGATGCTAAAACGCTGTGCCTGATATTGTTGTGTTGTTACTAGTAACTTATATTATAATTAATATTATTACTTTGCGTGTGTTGTAAGTTTTTATGGCATTTAGTTTTCTTTTATTAATACAATGTAGCCGCGATCGACACGACAATGAAAATATTAATGACGACAACCACAACGACGGCAACGACAAAGACAGAGACCAGAATTAACAAAGGCTAAGGAAAAAGGCAAACGAGCGCGCGCGATTTTCCTTAAGTGTGTGTTTTCCAACTGCTGCTTCTGGCAGCCAGCGCTTTTCCACTTATCGAACCGTTCGCCGGCGCGGTTGAACGAGAACTGAACACGAACACGAGCGCTTGCCGACTGTAGCGGTTTTACAAACCGACACGAACTGCCGACCGCGAGTGCTGCTGCGAAGTTGCAGCGCTGCGACTGCGCTGCCGCCACGCACAGCGCTTCAGTGTTGGCGGCAGAGCTGCGTTTTGGTTTTTCTTTTGGGGGCTCGCATGCTGCACACACACAATCAACGGGGTCAAGGGATTTATTGGGTGGTGCTGGTGGTGCTTGTGGTATTTCTTTTTATCTGCTACCCCAAAAGCAAGCTACGCCGCACTTAAAGAGTAGTTTCTCAATCGGCGGCTCTGCAATAATAGTTCTTGTGGCGTCTTATCACCAGGTTAATAGACCCAGAATACTATTTTAGCATGTGAGCGGGCATGTGTGTGTGTGTGTTGCAATGCGCTTCCCTTTGTGGTTGATAAAAGCACTCTTGTAGAACATGCAGACAAAATTGCATCGATTTGGCAAAATATCGTCTTAAATGTGACACTTGTCTGCCTCTCTATACCGAAATTTTGGAAATTGTTATTTCCAATAAAAAGCTTTACAAATAATTTACTTTCAAACATTTCTCACTTTTATGTACTATACAAGTACATACCTTAGAGAAAGTCTAAAAGGCTTTTGTTTAATTTCCGAACAATTATATTCCCTTTTTATTTTGTTCCAGAGCAGGCACTCTGTGTTCGAACATCTCTGCAAATATCATTCCTCTCATAAAATTTTATGATTGTTCGACCCGGGACAGATCTTAAATAAAGAATACAACGAAAAAAATAGTAATAATAATATACTATATGCATCACTAAAACACAAATAAATATTTATATAATAATAAGGTTGAAATCAAGAATGTATGTTACTAGAATAAATAACCAACAAGTATTTTATCCACTTTTTCTTTGCGTTATAATGCTATTAATATTTGGTGTCCTTATTATAAACCAAACTGAAAATTTAAATGTGTATACATTTGTAAATAATATAAGGAATAATATCAGTTACATAAAGTTTCTGTTAAAAAACAAATAAAAAATCCATTTATATCCATAATTTCCAATCCAATCTGTATTTATTGCAACAACTTGGTCCTTCTACGTCTGTTCTAACAATAATTGTTTATGCAAAGCCGCTTTTTAAAATATATCAGTGATCAGTTGGACATACTTGTAGTTAGATCATATGCGTGCACCAATAAACAAACTTCGGTGCAAAGTTTCAGCCGTGGAGTTATTAGCGATTGAAGCAGATAAACGGACAGGTGTTTGTCCTAATGTGCTGATTGTTAATGGATGTGTTTATACCATCAGATCTACTACTACACATCAATCACTCTATTCCCGTATTAAAAACTAAAATAAAACCAACAAATCTGTTTGTGAAAGGTGAATGACAGAAATACTTAAGGAATTTATATACAATAAAGAAGTTTAATTTCTGGCAGACTTACAAACACGTAATATAGACTTTGTTATTAATGATATATTACACTTTCCTTGGTATGCTTCTGCCAACCTGTCTGAAATGCCTGGAGATCGCTGAGGGCAATGCCCAAGCGTTCTCGAATTGCCAGTAAACCGAGCCCATTGCTGCAATCAGAAATTGAATTTATACAGCTGCGCGCATTCCAGAACGAAATGAACACCTTGTTAACAAGTGGCACAATTCCTTCCGAGCACCAGTCCTCCCCTAGTCGCAGATCCCATCGTGCACGGGGCCGTGCATTAAATGGCAGCGAAACGGCTCTGCATATGTTTTGGAACATGCCAATAATGTTATCAATTTCTTGTCACATTCCGCCAATTCCCGGAATTCTCAGTGCAAATGAGTATCTGTTAACAGATACGAGAATTTTAATAAACGTCAAATTTGTTGTTTTTGGTATACGGGTAAGGTATGGGGTTTGCCAAGTGGCAGCTATATGCGAACTTGTCGGAGCCACATATTTGGAATGCGCCTTGTCATCGTGCTGTGTTTTAATTGCAAAGTTTCGAAATGTGCGCAAGTGCCAATATCAATACCTATTGGGGATCGTAGATTCGTAAGAGTTATACTAAACTTTTCGGGACTTAGAAGATTCCCCCTCATTGATTAACTAATTTAAAAAGCGTTATTATTGACAGAAATTTGAATCTGGACTAAGGAATCGCAGCTTGCATTTATAATAGCTTTATGATTATTTTTTCAAAAGAATTCTTTAAATTAAAAGCGAGATCGAGAATTCAAATTGCTACCAGATTGTCGACTCCTTGATTCAATTTAACGTTAAACATTGGTCAATTTAATTACTCTGTTGAGATAAGAATGCAACAACGTCTTAGAACTTAAATTCAAAATGAATGCAAATAATATTATTCAATTCAACAAATCTTAATACAATGACTGTTTGTGTTTTTACTTTTAATCCACATTCCGTATTTTATGGGTTTTTGTATATTTTATAATAAAACAAAAGAAACAATCTTTGTAGAAATTGTTCAACACTCTCCAAACCCAATTATTCAGCTCTAGATGGACTCATTATAAAGTTCTACTCTCACTTTATGAGCAGCTTTAGAAAATATATCAAATTTAGACTGCTTGGGAATATAATGGGCAGTGTAGCTCAGAATAAGCCCTCAGCAATATTTATGATAATTACGAAGATTTCTAAAGAACCTGATATTAACTTGGGATCATTTTCAAAAACAGTAGGCTGTTGATCGTACTAGAACCATTTTTGATTCTTTAATGGCAGATCTTAAACAACATTCCACTTGAATTAATGTTCTTATAAATAATTTATTATAAAATATTATAATATATTATAAAGATCTTGACAATTGATTCCACTCTAGGCTATATAAATAAACGTGTGCATAAATATAGCTACATACTATACTCTTAGCAACCTCGGACCCAGAAGTCCCTATCACCATCGCAGTCCTTTAAAAATGGGCGCATTTTCCACGTTGTTTCGATTAGAATTGAAGATTAGTCTCTGGTAAATGGTTATGATATACGTTTGTTAAGAATTCTGTCGTTTTCGAATTTTTGATAAAATTCCACAGTCGCGTGTAATACTATATTTAAGTTGAGTTCACAAAAAAGATGAAAACAGCAATCGTAATCGAAGCAACCAGAGTAATCGCAATCATAAATTTTTAAGTAATTTCTGTATAAATCGATGGTTGTTGAAATATCAAAACTCTAATTTCCTTTCTCGATGACTGCATTCTCAATAGTGCCGCATTACCTTTCAAACTTGAGCTTTAAAACTTCAAAAAAATAATATGTCAGTCTATTAAAAAACGAATACTACTGTTCCTTTTATGTAGTAAATAAATAAACTACTAATTAGTATTAAGTTTCCTTTCTTTAAAAAGAAACATTAACTGGTCCTCTCTCAGACCTTGGAGAGATTTGTTACTTTGACTTTGTAAGATCCTTGATTCAGAGAGACGTTCTGCCGAACATATCAGCGTATCCAACTTCATACTGAGAATATATACATATATATATATATATATATATATATATATATATATATATATATCTAGGTGCGACATGCATTCCAACAAATCAAATATATTCTTTTATTCAATGGCTGGAGGCGCGAAAATTTGATTATAATATATGAGTAAATAAGAAAACCTCAGAAGGTCTTTTTGTTGGGAAGTCAAAACAGGGTTTTAGGAGTTGGGTTCGCATGCAATAAATCGTAGCGGTTATCGGGTAAGGAGAAATCGTAAAGTTCTAACAACTTATTTTCCAACTAATTACTATTTTTACTAAGTATAATTACAATTACGATTCCGGGGTATTTGTCAATATTTAAATATTCGTATTGTGAATTGGCTTTTGGGGGACGTCTTGGCCGCAGATGGGGATTACACGTTTAGACCATTCATATGGACATTTGGAATCGCATTGTAATTTCAGCTCTGAGTTATTAAGTGTGCATCTAACAAGCAGCAACTGGCACATCCATTAAAACAACAGATTTATAGCATTTACAATACTTATGGGAAACAGCAACTAGCACTTAGGCGCATATTTCAGCACAGATGTTTTGTGGCATTTGTTTTAAAAGCGATAATAACACTTAAGCTTTTAAATCGCTGACTTGTGCGCAATTTAAGCTTCCATACCCAATCATATCGAAACGAATGCGCTCCGGCCTGGGATAATTCATACTCGTATACGTACTTAGCCCCCCCACCAAATCAAATTGGTAAGCATTTGACATTTATTCTCATAGCGAGTCAGAGAGTCGGCTTCGCAGATGAGTTGGAGTTGGAAAATTGTTGTGGGTATGAAATGCCATGGAAATGCTAGCTTCAGTCGACACCAAAGCGGTTGTTGTTGTTGTTATTTTGTTTTTGTACTGGCATAGATGATTTATGCACTCATTGTATGCATAAGCCAGGCGGCCTCATGGAAAATTGCAGTTATCACGATATTTGCCAGCCTGCCAGTTTGTCGGTTGGTTCGTTGGTTCGCTTTTTGCTTGTTACTTGGCTTTTTCGATGGCATTGCGCAGGCGCGAACGCGGCTGCGTTTTTATTACAAACATGAGTACGCCATCGACGGGGTATTACAGCTAAGCTCTGATGTTCGTAACGCACACTTAGAAGAAAGCCTTTCGTGGCACTTATAATTCAAATGGAAATATAATTTAAACTCACAAATCGAATCATCAGCAGTCATGTTTTGCAATTAATAAAATGCTAAGCAACTATATCTGACTCACCTATGGATATCGGAACTATAACTGCATTACAAATTAAAGTAAGAGTATACCATTGTGGGGGGAAGATTGGCCGAAGATTGCGGTCTTCTTGTTTCTTTTCTTTCGGTTTCCCAGGCGCAAGCAACCGTGCGCATTTTGTCACAAGACCTCGCTGACGACGTTGCCATTATTTATGAGCTACCAACGTTGCTTGGCCGGAAAATTTGCAAAGGCCGCAACAGCAGACACATGGGAAAATGACGCAGTATGTGATTTACGCAAAATTAAATAATTGCGCCTAATTATTGGTATTTATATAGCATTCTTTTGCTATCTGCCCGCTCGTTATTGTTGCGCCACAATTGTAAAAATAAATAAACAACTTTATTGCTAATTTAGCTCATACGTCATTGGCAATGAGGGGACGGCGCTTGGGGGCGTGCTTCTTCTCCCGAGCTAGCAATTTTCCACGCTACGCCACTCCACTCCAACGTAATTAGTCGATGAGCTTATAAGCCTCGTACAAATAACAAAAGTAGCCCCTTCCTACTTGCCAGCACGTTCTGGCCCAAAGACACCGAGAGATCGAGACCCGATCTCGCACTGGGGGCTGGAACGGCGATTACGTCCCAGCCCAGACTATAAGTAGGTGGGCCGATTGCGCCGATGCTATTTTAATATTGGCAAATATTTACTGCCAACATTTTTGCAACTCCAAGTATTTGCCCCAGCAATTTGTGCCGTCTGCTCGGTTTATTTTTGGAATGGCGAACCAGGTGAGCCCGAACTCTAAGCCACAGCAAATATAATCAATGTTATGTGTATTTTGAAATAAAAGCTAGCTAGCTACACAATGCAACAGACTTTTCAGGTCCCTAAGAACTGGATATTATTAACGTTCATTTTGATTTGGATTTAGAATTACCTATTTGTCAAACTGTTAGTGTTATATAAGAATTTCGAAAGTAGAGTTCCTTGTTTTACACGACCGATATACATATATTTAACCATCACTCACATTATAGCTAGTTTAATGCTATTTTTGAGGCCTAAACCCATCAATATGTTAATCGAAGATTATGGAAACACAATTTTAAAATTTGTGTTCAGATTCAAACTTTTTTATGCAATAATTTACCTTTTTTTTTCATTAAAACAATTATAAAAAAATTTTCTTTTCTTTTTCTTTTGATTGTAACGATAAGGTTTTTAACAATGTTATCAGTTTCCAGAATCACTCAGCATAGATACAGGTCTATTAAAATTTCAATAATTTTTAGCTTAAATTGATAATCCCATATTTTTTAGCACTTTGTCTTTCCAAATATATGAAGAGTTAGTCTTAAGATCCACTTCATTTTTCTCATTTCATGGATACTTTCGACATATAATTTTTCCAATGCCCTTTTTTTGATGCGCACTATACTTTTCATTCAACTTATAGAATAACACAATTCAACTTAAACTAGTCCCAATGCTTCAGACAAAAAGTTCATCTCAACATATGATTCCTGTTTTGATTGTTCTGATTTGGGAGTAACACTGTCTAACGCACCAGAAATAATATACACTTGCATATTTGCAGTGAAGGGTATAAATATATTTAATAGTTTTTTTGTTTTTATTGTTGAACTTGAATATAGTACATGCTACTAAAATGATATCGATATTGGAATTACTAACTAATGAAAGTACTTCTTCATTGCACCTAATAAAGTGTACAATAAAACATCCCACTCTCCATTAAAAAATAAATAAATATAGTGAAATATATGTTTCAGAATTATTTGATATTTATATTGCATAGTAGCAAGGTATTGGTAACATTGGAGCTTCATGCAATGTCAACTTCAGAGTGTGTCAACAACAGTTTCTTGGCATTTTCGTGAGTTTTCCACGTGCTCCTAAAAAAAAAACCAAACAACCCACAAACAAGCTGCTCAAATTCCTAATGGCTGGCTGGCGACTTACAGAGTTCATTTACTGTCGAATGCCAATGCTGCAAACTGTAAACGACACCGCTGTGGCACTTGCTACAGTGACAACAACAAAAGCTACAACAACAACATCCATAGTGCTGTAGTAGACAAAGATCAAGCGGTTGTTGTTTACACAGGCGGCGAAGCTCTCACACTGTAATTAGGTGTGTGCGGGACAGCAGGGAGATTGGCGACTGGGGCGTTTACATGTTGCCAACGACGACGACGACGACAACGACGGCAACAGCGACGGTGACGGTGACGGCGACGGCGACAGCAGCGACAATAACAACAGAAACAACAATCATGCAAGTGGTAGGCACAAAGGGAACGTATTGTCGTATAGTGGCTAATTGCTCATAACAAAGGAGGGCGTATTGAGTGTGCGAGTGAGTATGAGTTAGGGGCGTGGCACAGTCCGTATTAGCAAGACTAACTAGAAAATCTGCTTAAAACATGAGCATGAACCTTTATTTTTTTTAATTATTGCTGCTTTCTGTCCGTTAACCAGGCGTATACGCATTGTGACAGTGACTGTCAAACTGTTCACAGTTTGAGTTGCACCGCAGCTTCTTCAGCTCGGTACGAGTATTTGAACAAATTTAAGCTGCCACAATTGAGCAGCCAATTAAACCGCATTGGATTACATGTGACCTCAGCATGAGCAATGCAATTAAAATCGAACAACGCATAGCGATGTCGACGAGCAGATGCTGATTATTTCGGAAATACCAATCAGATGAAAGGGCTTAAGTAAAGCAGACACTGTCCCTATTACCCGACCCCCCTCCGAACAAACAACACGTTGATTACTGTCTGAGCATTTTGCAAGTGGCTCAACAACATGAGGTATCGTCGTTGCCGGTCGACTGCGTCACAACTGACCAAAGGCTGGCCATGTCACGATGAACATGTTTGTATGCTCATAGTACAAACATGTCCAATTATTTTGCTTGCTATCGTCTGGCAGACGTTCTGATAGCCGATCACCTGCTGATTTTTGTTCTTTTACTGCCTGGGAGACGAAATTTCTTTATACTTATTATAGACGTATGCGGCTATTTTCTCTTAAAGCTCTCCGAGGCATAAAAATACTTGCAGTTCATTTTTGGATTTTCCCCCAGCCACAGGCCACTTGGCAGGGGGCGTCAGTTTGAAAAAAATTGAGTCATAAAATCAAATGCGAGACCACTGTCTAGAGGCTAGTTAAAATCGTTATTTGTATTGGCAAACAATTTCACTATGTTTATATATCATTTATACAATAAAATTCTTCATATATAGGCGTGTATATAATTAATACTAAACAATGCAACTTAGGCTTAATGAAATCTGCAACAATTCTTTATACTTACATACTACAACTACGATAATAACTAATCTGAGTTAGCAGTCGTTGCTTAGTGTCATAAGCCAAATTTAAAATATAACAATGACTTAACATGATCTACTGTACACCAAACGTTGTGCTTCTTTAACCATCACCAATCGTCGCGTGGCAGTCGATATGTTGTGTTGTCGCTGCGCACAATGTGAATGCCCGCTCCATAGTAAGGTATCACGTAGGCGGACCCATCGGCTGGGCCCACCACCTGCATGGCGATCAGCACCACATCAATAAGCTGCCCGAGAAACATTCCGCCCAGCGTGCAGAACTTGAGCAGCCCAATGCCGGGATAGCCGAGGTAGAAACGGTCCACACCAAACATGCCCAGGAAAACGGACAACAGTAGGGTCGTGTCCAAATGATACCCATTGCTGGTAATTAGGAAACAGTGGGAGTTAGATTAAGCAAGCGTAATATATGCTTTTTGATTGCCTACACTTACGTCCACTTGCAGGGGAGTTCGCGTGTGAAGGTGGAGTTGCCGGTTTCGGTGCAATTAATGTCTTGAGCGGCTATGCACCAGACTCGGGCACGATTCTCTGGGGTGCAGCCACGCAGTTGCTGTGTTTTGGGGTCGATATGGTTCTTGGCAGGATCAGGGCACATGAACTGGCCCATCAGCAGCTTATTGCAGTCGACGATTACTTGATGTGATTCGACCGCATAGAATAATGGCAGGAGCAGCACAGGCCAGAACATTTGTATTGTTTACGTTGTCGTTTGCTTTCGTTGTTTGGTGCGGGGCGGTGAGAAGGCTTTGACACTTTCGTTATAGTTCGTATTGCTTAGGCACGAGTGTTTGGAGCTATTGACGTTGGTTTAGAATATTTATATTGCTTGCATTATATTAATTTCTTATTCGTTTTACTTAATGCGCTAATTTTTAGAATCTCATTATTCACTAGGGCTGCAAAAGCATATCGATTGTTTCGATATTTGAAAACCAAATAGTGCTGCCACACTGTTATAAAAAGATTTGCAGCGGGCCGCGATGGAACAGTGAAATTGAAACGGTCTTTTCAAAAACTACAGCAACAAATGAATTTGTTCATGGAACATTCTTATAGGTTCGCAACATTTATTTCCTACCGTTTAAAACAATAAATGCTTGTGGTATATGTCATTGAAATACCCCTGCTTGTTTATTAAACACATTTTTCTTGCACTGCAGTATAAGACGCACTTCCTTAGCTTGGTCGGACTTGAGCTTGTCCATGGTATCCAAGGCCAGACCGTCACGAAACACAATGCACACCTTTGAAGTCTGACCAAAGGTGCGCTCAATGAATCCCAATTCTCCGGTGGAAAGCTGCACACATTTTCCCACGTACATATCGCGGTTGGACTCCTTCTTGAAGAGATTCTGTACAATTACCTCATTGGCATTAATCACTCGTTGTATGGTGCCTTCTTTCTGCTTCCGTTTGAACACACGCCACTTAGGCAGCTCCTGATGTGCATAATCGCTATTGTGTGTGAGCCAACTAATGGTTCCCCAGAATGCTAGACGGCAACTGCTACTGTGCATATCAACGTCAAGCTTTGAGGCAATCAGTGTGGCGCCCAGTGTCGTCAGCACAGGCGTTTCAAACCGCAATAAGACAAAAATACGATCTGCTTCAGTGCCAGGTGAAAACTCCTCTACGTACTCGTACTCTTTGGTACAATCAAACTGATTCGGAGCACTGGTCCCTTGGTCATCGCGAAATAGTGTTGCGACAGCCATTACAGTTTCGTGACCTACACTGATGTGCAGCTTGCTCTTGGACTTGATGGCGTTTCTGTAGTACCGTATGAACTGCATCTGCACACAAACCGCATGTATAGGCTTTAAGTAGCCCGGTTTTGCTATGATTCCGCGCTCCAACAACTTGGCGTTGAATTGGGTGACGCACAGTCCAATACGATCGCCCATGGCTGCTGCATCGACGGGGCGCTTGAACATTTGTATCGACTTCACTTTACGCTGCTCACCCAGAGCCGGTAGCTTTATTATTTCATTCACCGAAACGCGTCCTTGTAGCAAAGTACCCGTGCAAACGGTGCCGTGACCTTTAATAGAGAAGCAGTGGTCTACGTACATAAGGAGTGGTTTGTCTACCGATCGTTCAGGCAGATAGTAAGCCGTACTGAGTCCATCGCGCAGCTCAGCAATGTGAGTTCCATCTAGCGCAGATACACAATATATCGAAACGTCCTCGCCGAATGCCGTACCTGCCAGCGTTTTACGCAACCGGTTGCACAACTTCTCAAGCTTGGAGGCTCGGTCCTCTACAGGCAAGGAATCTATTTTGTTTATTACTACAATAAGCTTCTTTTGCAGTATTTCGCCAATGACAATGCATTCCGCCGTTTGGGTTTGCATTCCTTTTTGTGCGTCCACCACTAACAGCATAAGATCTATGATCTGTGCGCCTGCAGATTAAAATACTGGTTAAGTATATGTCGGGTCTTGGTTACTTCAAACTCACCTCCAATGATCGTGCGAATTAGACTCGCATGCCCAGGACAGTCAACGAAAGTGAATTGCAATTGTTCCACTTGAGGCATAGCATCTTTGAGCTGTGGTGGTGCTTCAACAACAAGTCCACTGAATCCCAAATCCAATGTTATCCCTCGCTGTTGTGATTGCGGATTTTTATCAAACGCCGCAGTGCTGGGAATGGCACTAAGCGAACGTGCCAGAGTCGTTTTGCCTGAATCGACATGGCCAAGCAAACCAATATTGAAATTCACCAACATGTTAGGGCCATTTACGTTTTTGTTTACTTTTCGTAACACACAAACATTGCTTGGCTTAGGGAAATAGTTATAAATGTTGTCATGTTGCAAGTAGTGTTGATAAATTCGGAAAAGTCGCGGTGAAATTGAAACAGTCGAAAATTATATCTGAACCGTTTTGTTAGAGATGGGCGATTTGGTCTAATTTGTGTTGGTGTAGTTTCCAAATGTGCAATCATAACATTCCAGGAATTCAAGAGCAATTGGGCGATGAGCCAAAAGCTCTATCTTGCGGCTTGAATACAACTTTGTTATTTAAAATAATTGGTAAATATTTCGGCTGAGGCAAGAACAATTTATCAAAATTGCACCTATTTGCTACAATTTACAAAATACATCTGTTTATTTCAGCATCTTACAGATGCAGTACATAATATAAATGTTTAAATATCTTAGGATTGTATAGATTGTCAAATAATCTATGCAATTATTATTCGTTGAAAATACTGGGTTAACTGCCACTTCCGGTGGCTTTAGTTCTAAAAATGGTGCTGACCACTTGTTGACAATGGTCGATAAGACTATCCGTGTATATCGATGATATTCAACGCGATGAAAGGGCAGCTCTAGCGTCGTCGCGCGCTCAGTCTGAGAGAGATTTTGAACTTGTTGGTTGTGTCAGCGGATGTTCGGCGCTCGCGTTCTTCTTGTTTTTGCTGGCGTCAAATACGATCGGTAAAGGAATATCGAGAGCAAAACAAACAAACAAAATATAATTGCAATCAAGCTTAACATAAACCGCAACAACAACTAAATTTTAAAAGAAAATTGTGAAAGAAAATCGAAGTAAAGCAAATAAAGTGCCTTTTCTCTTAACTGCTGTTAGCTTTACGAATACATGAACATCGCCGAGTTGGTAACACACACGAATGCAATACCTTAACACAGAGCCAGACACACAAACCAACCCATACTTGTGCGGGCAAGTAAACATCGCCTGGCCTGTGTGTGTGTGCCACTATTTTTACCTGCTTTCGGAATAAGAGTGCAAAGCAACACGGTAATAAAGTCCAAAGCCATTTTTCCATTTTGAGATAAACTGAACGATATTACACACGGTGGTGCTGGCCAATGCTAAACAATCGGAAATAGCAACGCAACAACTTCTTTTGTTTGTGTAATAATTAAAACGTGTGCACTGTACATTCTGTTTTCGTTTTCAATTTGTTCGATTTTTGTGTGGTTGCCATGAAAATGCAGTCGCTGCTGACGTCTAAACAAACAACAAAGCTTTGGTGGCGTCGACGCCAGCACTAGCAAGAAGGGAACATACGCACGCATACACACAAACATATCCACAAAATTCCAATGAGAACACAACGCCAAAAAGTTTTTACCGGTAACGATCGTGAAATGTAAGAAAAATAAATACTACGGAAATTCTGTGATTGTGATTTCGGCTGCCACCTAAATAACCGTTAAGTGTTCAAAAGTGAAAGAATTGTAATCAAGCCCCTGGCCAATGTACACAGCAGCAGCAAGTAATGCAATAAAATGTCTCCACGCCAGCAAACGCGATTAGAACCTCACAACGACAATAACAATAACAACAAAAATCCAGCCCAACAACAGCCACATCAGCAACACAAACGAAAATGTCGCACCCACACGCTACTCTCCTCAGCCTTCACCTGCCCACTCACAATGCTGCTGGCGCTTATCATTGCCGTACACAGTACACCTCCCCGGTTTGTCCGGGCTTTTACCAATACCCACCGGTCGTTACCGCTGCTGATGGAAGAGAATTTTTCGGGCGATAATCGTAAACCCGCCTTCCGGAACTGCGCCGGCTATGCGCCCTCTGTTAAGGAGGAACAGCCGGAGAACACGTTTGTAATAATGGTCGAAGCGAAGGACCCTGATCCAAATCAGGATATACGCTACAGTCTGTTGCAATCGAAATTCGAACGCCACAAATTTAATATAAATCCCAGCACCGGAGTCATCACCACGGCGCACACCTTTGACCGGGACGAGCCCATACGCGAAAAGTTCGTATTTGTGACGGTGCAGGCGACGGACAATGGTCTGCCGCCCCTGGACGATGTCTGCACATTCAATGTGACCATCGAGGACATCAACGATAATCCCCCCGTGTTCAATAAGGCGCGCTACGACGAGTCCATGTCGGAGAATACTGCGGTTAGTATGGGTTCCAGCATTGCCGGCGGACACAAGCCTGGAGCGGCCAAATACGCGGACCCTGGATTACTGCGGTTTGGCCTGCCCATGGATTGTGTCTCGCCCCAAGAACCAACTACTTCTAATTTTGTTCAGTCAGCCTCATACGTACCTCTACATAGTATGTCCGGTCAGACCGTATTTCCGAGTGATGTCATTTCGGCTGAGCACAATTTAATTGGCTTAATGGCAATTAATAGGCCAGTGCCACAGTCCCCATTGTGTCTAGTTGCTATTCTGACCGTATATTTTTATGTCTGACGCTGGGTTTTGCACCTGCAATTAAGCAAAGTCCCAACTGCTAAGTAAACAATGACAACAAGAGTTTACAGCAACGGCGACACTTAACTTCACAGCTCAGCATTATTTAGCAACTATATACTACATACTTAGGCATCTATGTATATACATATGTACGAGCATATACCTACATTGGTAGTATGTGCTATTTGTTATTTGGTGACAAAATCTTCTCTACTTTTCTGCCCATGCTTGCTACTTTTTATTCGTCTTCGGCTTTGTTGACCAGGCCCGGCATGCCGATGTTAGCCAAGAAACACGTTTTTCTGAAACACAACAAAGACATGGCGTAGGTGGAGGGAAAACAAAAAGCGGAGGCAACTGCCAGTGGCCGTGCTTCGTCTTCTTTTAGCTCTAAGGTCCGCAATCGACTCGTCGACTGTGTCGAGTTCAATGGACGCTTTGTTCGATAAGTCGAATGGTGAAAACCTTGAAACCCATTTGCACCATGTCCAAAGCTAATTCTCACATTTGCATTATGTTTAGAACCTATCGGTCATACCCTAAAACCACAGTGAGCTCAAAAATAGCAGCCAAATCGAAGATCGCACTTGGCCTCAGGCCGTTTTTAGCTTTTATAAATGATACTTTTAAAGAGGGTTGTACAGAAAATTGAAACTTTCAAATATTTTAAACCCCTGCTGCATGCAAAAGTTTTTCTATACCCTAACTCCATTACTAGTCTACAGTTATTATATATTATAAATTTTCAATTATTGGTTTATAAAGAAATGTCTTTCTATGTGCTCTTACAAGCTTGTGAAAAAAATTGTTCCTATTAGTATAGTATATAGTAGTTTAATTTCTTAATGAGCAAATTTCGTATTTCGATTCTTGAAAAGCATTCGATTTACAGTATTCCTATGTCTCTCTACGTAAAGAATAAAGGTAAATAGTTGTCAGACTCTTTGTAGCCAATTTTTCGATTATGGAACGAAAACGTAAACCTAATGAAATCTACTTTTCTATCGGCCTATCCTTTTTACACTTCCCCCTTTACGTCATGTATTACAAGTATGTTGTGTTAGCAAAGCGACTGGCGTATTTAAATGCGCCATTTTAGCATTAAAGGTTTCAGTTCGCGTTGCTATTTCGAAATGGTCACTCGGATGTAAAGTATACGGAAATAATATTACAATGTGTATATTTTTGTTTTGGGAAAATCTACAGGAAAGTTTTAGGATAGTTTGTAGAAGATAGTTATCCTCATGTTGGTTCCTTAGCGAACTTTATTAAAAAATCTCCATTATTTTGTGGTTTTACTTTGATTTTTTACTTGCAGCCCGACGCGGTTGTAATGACAATCAGTGCCAGTGACTTTGACGATCGGAACAACAGCATCATTGAGTACGAGATTCTGAGAGAGCGCGACTATGAGTATTTTAGAATCGAAAAGGAATCAGGAATTATATACCTCAATCACGCGATCGACAAGCGCCCCGGTCAGCAGTATACGATCAATGTTCGAGCCTATAATATCGTGCCAGACCCACCGCAAGATGCGCAAATCGAAGTGCGCATACGTGTTGTAGAGTCTTCAATCAAACCCCCCACATTTGTCGATCCCATTGACGAACCCATTTATTTAAAGGAAGACTTTATGGACTTTTCGAAGCCCATAGCCACACTTCATGCCATATCGAATGTGCCGGATAAGCCAGAGGTTATCTTTGAGCTGATCACAGGCCGCACAGAGCAAACGAATGGCAAAAATACGTTTGTGTTTAATCAAATTGGCAACAAGGTGTCCATTAGCTTGGGCATGCATCTCGATTTCGAAGCCATTACAGACTATACGCTGACCATGAGCGTACGAAACACTTATGATCTTTCCACCGAGCACATGCTGAAGATCAAGGTGGAGGACGTTAATGACAATATACCTTACTTCACGGAGGTAAAATCCGGCACGATATTGGAAAACGAGCCTCCAGGCACTCCCGTCATGCAGGTGCGTGCCTTCGACATGGACGGTACTTCAGCGAACAACATCGTTTCGTTTGAGTTGGCCGACAATCGCGATTACTTCGCCATTGATCCACACACTGGAAACATAACGGCATTAACAACGTTCGATCGGGAGGAGCGGGACTTCTATAATGTAAAGGTCATTGCTAGTGACAACTCACCATCCAGTCTGTTCCACAATGGTGAGCCAAACCGTGGGCAGCAGGTGTTCCGCATTATTATCGGTGATAAGAACGATCATAAGCCGCATTTCCAAAAGAGCGAATATTTGGCCGACAAACTGCTCGAGGACGCGAACACCAATACCGAAGTAATTGAGGTCAAGGCCGAAGATGAGGATAATGCTTCGCAAATACTCTACACAATCGAGAGTGGTAATGTGGGCGACGCATTCAAAATTGGCCTGAAGACGGGCAAAATTACGGTTAACCAGCGCCTCGACTACGAAGCCATTACGGAGTATGTGCTCAAGATTCGTGCCTTTGATGGCATATACGACGACTCCACCACTGTCACAATCAAAATAGCCGATGTCAATGATAATCCACCGGTTTTTAAGGAAAAGTACGCGAAGACAATACAGGAAGAGACCATATTCGAAAATTGCATCCTTAATATAGAGGCTTACGATCCTGATATTAAGGATCGCACTGCCGATCAGCATATAAAATATTCGATTGTTAAGGAAGAGCACAAAAAGTTTCTAACTATTGACAATACCGGATGCTTACGCCTCATTAAGCCGCTCGATCGGGATCAGCCCAACGGACACAAGAGCTGGCAGGTTCTAATATCAGCACACGACGAAGACGGTCATGGTCTTAATCTGGTGGAACCTGTCATTATAACGCTGCAGGACATCAACGATAATGCACCTTTCCTTGTTAACCAAATGCCAGTAATCTGGGAGGAGAATCGCAATCCGGGTCAGGTGGTGCAACTGCAATCGAATGACTACGATGAACCGCAGAACGGTCCCCCATACACGTATGGCATTGACAGCGAGGCATCGCCGGACATTAAGACCAAGTTTAGTATCGACAATGATTATCTCTTTGCCAATGTCCAATTCGATCGGGAGCAGCAGAAGGAGTACTACATACCTATACGCATAAGCGACTCGGGCGTGCCTAAGCAGAGTTCAGTGAGCATTTTGCATCTAATAATTGGCGACCTTAACGACAATGCCATGAGCGAAGGTTCTTCCCGCATCTTCATCTACAATTACAAGGGCGAGGCACCGGACACAGACATTGGACGCGTCTTTGTCGACGATGCTGACGATTGGGATCTGGATGACAAGCAGTTTGAGTGGAAGAGTGGCATACCTCATAGCAACTTCCGCCTGAACCCCAGCACCGGCATGATCACCATGCTAGAAGGCACCAGCGAAGGCGAGTACATATTGGAGTTTACCGTGATCGAGGAGTCCACCTCTATATCACGGCACTCCGTCGATGCCGATGTAACTGTCATTGCTCGCGAGCTGCCAGAGGAGGCTGTAGACAAGAGTGGTAGCATTCGTTTTATCAACATCACTAAAGAGGAATTCATAAGCGTGCCACTCGATGCGCAGGCAGATGATTCGTTCTCTCTGAAAGATCGCTTGCAGCATGCACTCTCCCAGCTCTTTAACACGTCCGTGACAAATGTTGACGTTTTTACGGTGCTGCAGAACGAGAATAATACATTGGACGTGCGCTATTCGGCGCATGGCTCCCCCTACTATGCGCCCGAGAAGCTAAACGGCATGGTGGCCCAGAACCAACAACGTCTAGAGGACGAGCTTGATCTGCAAATGCTGATGATTAATATAGACGAGTGCCTGATCGAGCGCAACAAGTGCGAAAGTTCGTGCACCAATGAGCTCCATAAATCCTCCGTGCCCTACATGATCTACTCGAACACTACATCGTTTGTGGGCGTCAATGCCTTTGTGCAGGCACAATGTGTTTGTGAGGCCCAGGTGCGCAATTATTGCCTGAATGGAGGCACACCCCGAGTGGGCGAGAATGATGCCTGCGACTGCATCGACGGCTTCACTGGCCCCCATTGCGAGCTCGTGTCGGTAGGATTCTATGGTAGTGGCTACGCCTTTTACGAGCCGATCTCGCCATGCGACACAACGCGCATCAGTCTGGATATTGTTCCCCAAACAGATCAGGGTCTCGTTATGTACCTGGGACCGTTGAACTATAACCCCCTGCTGCCACTTTCGGACTACCTGGCACTGGAACTGGAACACGGCTACCCAGTGCTCACTGTGGATTACGGCTCTGGTGGCACACGCGTCGAGCACAAGACAACTCAACTCCAGGCCGGCCGCTCCTATCAACTAGATATCATTCTCCAAAAAACCATCATCGAAATGACTGTGGACAACTGTCGCCTGTCCTCATGCATGAGCTTGGGCGCTATTCAGGGCCCCAACGAGTTCCTCAATGTAAATGCGCCCCTGCAGCTGGGTGGCACACCCATTGATCTCGCACAGCTGGGTCGCCAGCTGAAGTGGGCGCACATTCCCAGCCAGCAGGGTTTCTTTGGCTGCATACGCAATCTGACCGTCAACGAGCACACTTACAATCTGGGAATGCCTTCGGTGTCCCGCAACATAGACTCCGGATGCCAGAGTGCGGTGGCCGTCGCTGTTAGCTTCGGCATCAATCGCAACTTTCTCATTGCGATAATTGCGTGCATCGCCCTGTTGCTGATCATCCTGCTGGCGGTGGTGGTGCAGAAGAAACAGAAGAACGGCTGGCATGAGAAGGACATTGATGACATACGCGAGACGATCATCAACTATGAGGACGAGGGCGGTGGCGAGCGCGACACAGACTATGATTTGAACGTATTGCGCACGCAACCCTTTTATGAAGAGAAACTCTATAAGGATCCGCATGCGCTGCAAGGGGGTCTGCGCGACCCCAATGACATACCTGACATTGGCGACTTTCTGGGCGGCAAGAAGGAGAATTGTGATCGCGATGTCTCCGCCTATACAGTCGACGATGTGCGGCATTATGCCTACGAGGGTGACGGCAATTCCGACGGCAGCTTGTCCAGTCTGGCCTCCTGCACCGACGACGGCGATCTCAACTTTGACTATTTGTCCAATTTCGGACCACGTTTCCGCAAATTGGCGGACATGTACGGCGAAGAGCCCTCCGACACGGACTCCAATGTGGACGACGATCAGGGCTGGCGCATCTGAGGGACTTCCAAAACCAGTAGTAAAAGGCATTAAATCCCAAACACACTCTTACACACAAACACACACGATAGCAATTAGCTTAGTTAGTTTGAGCCGCGCATTTGGTTGTTGTGACTCAATGGAATTCAAAAGACTTTTACACTAAGTTATGGAAAGGCGCCTGAAAAGATGATAGAAAGCCGGCCTAGCCGGACACTTATCGGCGCGTCGTGGGGCGCTCTTAAAGCACTGCAAAGATATAGGGTACATATGTATTAAATTATATTGCAGAGGAGCATTGCAAGGGCATAGTAGGAACACATTTAGCACTTTTTGTTTGTTTTTGTATTAAGCGCAAAACGTGATCTTTACATGAAAGAGAAAACAACAAATTATTTTAGTAAACCAACTGCGAACAAATTGCGACTAAACAGTTTTCTGTATTTGTTGATAAAATATAGATTGAAACACAAATATCATATACTATATATGTATATATAGTAGGTATGACACACAAAATCTTCTTGTTTAAAGAAAATTTAAAAAAAATATATATATATTTATACTATATATATATAAAATGAAAATCAAAATTTTTCAATATTCCTAGCGTGCATTTTATTTGCACATTTCCAATAATATATTAATTTAGTTTTGCTCCCGCAGAGCAACATTTATTTATAATTTTCACATAAGCAGATGAGCTGGGGAAAGCTAACTCCATTAGGGCGGCTAAGATATTCGTTAAAATTTCCGAATTAAAATAATAAACAAGCTCGAATCACTTAATTTATATGCAAAACATTATGCTAAGTGCTTAGATTATCGCTCTGTAAATGTCATATACATAGAATGCGTATACATCAGATCAACCGAATGGTATCGAACGGTTTAGTTAAGCGATGTAATTAATTAAAATAAGCTGAACTCTAACTATATATACATACATACATACATATGTGCATTTTATAAGTCGATCAATAGAAACAACATTAATGAAAAGGTTTAATAAATAAATGCGACATGTATTTTTGTAAGTCTTTTTCATAGTAAGAGTAGTTTTTACATGCCAACGCGACGAAGGATTACAAATATTTATGTTTAAATAAATTTTCAAAACATAAAAGAAACAACAAAACGTGACACAATAATTGTGCGAGAATAAAAAATAATAAAATTTTAATGAAAATTGCTTTTATTACACTGGTCGGCACAATTATTTTGACGAGAAGAAAATCATACATTTTTGTCAATAACTGGTTATTGGTTTAAGATATCAAAGGAAACTTTTTTTCTCAATTCCATATTGGTATTACAAACTTAAAAATAATTCAAAGGATATATTTTTATAAGAACTTTTAAAATTATAAATCAAGGTAATTTTCATGGGTTGGCATAAGTATTTTGACAATGGATATTAACAAAAAAAACAAAGCTTAATACTAAACAAAACATAAGAAATTGATGGTAGATTAATAAAATGTATACCCGCCTTTGGCTTCGATAACTTTTTGAAGACGTCTTGGAACTGAGTCCACTAAATTTTGAAGGACCTCTAATGGTATCTCTTTCCAAAGAGAAGTGACCTCGGAAATAGTTTCTTCTTCGGTTTTATGCAAAGACGCATTTCTTTTACGTTTTACAAGAGACCACACATTCTCAATAACGTTTAAGTCCGGACTTTGTGGTGGCCAATCCAGAGTAGTAACACCAACATCGCTTAAAAATGCTCTTATCATTTTGCTTTTGTGGCATGGGGCGTTATCCTGTTGCAGGATAAATGATTCTCCAATCAGCCTGTCACCGGAAGGGAATGCGTTTTCGTTAAGGGTACTCAAATATTGTTGCTGGTTCATTGAGCCGGTGATGGGAACGAAATCACCTAACCCATTGTACGCAATGCATCCCCAGAACATGACTGAGCCTCCGCCATGGCTCACTTTTTGACATACGGGGATATTTTTTTGTCTTTGAAACTGTGGGAGCCTTACAAAAATCTTTGTTTTTGATGAATTATATTCAAAGGAGCTTTCATCTGTCCATAGAACGCTTCTCCAAAACTCTTTTGGCTTATGCAGATGCTCCTTTGCAAAAGCCAATCTTTTGAGCTTGTTCACCTTTGATATGTAAGGTATGTCCTTCGCTTTGTATGTCTTAAAATCTTCTTCTTTTAGGCGTCGCCGAACAGTACGCTCACTGATTGGAGTCTTGGTCGACTTATTCCATTGATCTGCAGCAGCTTGCGGCTTTAAATGAATATTTTTTTTAAATTCCCGCAATAGGACTCGATCTTCAATGGGTGTTGTTTTGCGGTTAGCACCTGATCTAGGCAAGTTTTTGACGTCATTGTGGGTCTTATATTTGTTAATTTGATAGTGGACTGTTTGCCGCGACAAATTATATTCATTTGCAATGTCTTTTGGTGCTACGCCGGCATTAAACTTCGCCACTATTGAGGCTCTAACAACATAACTTAATTCTGTCTTTTTTACCATTGTATCGATTACTTTTGAATCAAATTTTAATGAAAATAATGTAAAAAGGTCAACAAAAATTGTTACACCAAAGTTATTTTAGTATCACTTGATAAAACGTACGCGAAAACGGCGACAAGGTTTGGTCAAAATACTTATGCCGTGCCTGAATCCGCAGTCAACTCACATTGTCATTTGTAGAAAAAAGGTGTGAAGAGTAATAGACAAAATATTTTGCCTACATATTGTTGTTGCTATGAACTCAATATCCCGTATGAAAATTGTACCGTTATTCCTTGAAACTAAAAGCAACCAGCACCGATAGTCGTGAGTACAGTTCGTCAAAATAATTGTGCCGACCAGTGTATATACTTGTACATAGCCATAAATGTAACCCCACAGAATCTATGTAAGTATTTAGATGAGCACGAAAATGTGTAGCGAGATAAGAAGGTACAGTATTCATATACATATAGACATACGACATACCTTATCTGTTCCGCACGAAAATTAAACATAAATAGGCGTAGAAACTCGTTCGTTCTCGTGATAGGCATCTCATCAGCGCAGGAAACATCGGTTCAAGGTGTGTTGAACTTCTAGTAACAAGGTTTGACCTTTAGATTACAGATCTGAGCACCTTTGCTCTGAACATGTGAGTTTCTATATAATTTTTCCAGATAAGTGGCCATAACTGGTATAGTAAGCTCCGTAAAAAGTCATTAATTCAGAATCAGCATGAAAGATGATGTTTTTTAAAAATCAAAAAGCAGAGTTTGGAGGTTCCCGAGCTAGACATAACCAAGTGTCTACAAGTATATACATATGTATGTGTAGGCAATCTAAGGCAATCCATTCATTAAGCACATACTTGTATGTATGGGACTGCCAGACGCATAACGAATTCTAAACAAATATGGCATGGAACGTCTACAGCGAGCCAGCGGGAGCGATCCAAGAAAGGGGGGCCCACTCACGAATTTTGTAGAGTCAATGACTGACCCGCTACTGTTTCCACGGATCTATGTTGTAGTTTGTGCCGCGTTGGAGGAAAAGCGTCATTATCTTATCAGCTTGTTGGACGAAAACTAGGCCGTCCCTCTGCTGGAATTGTGTGAACAAATCGATTGCGGCACGAGCGTGCCTATGGATTAAAAAGCTCGATGAAAATTGGAGCAGTTCAATGAGTGAGCAGCATAAGAGTGCATACATACATACATACAAGTAGTATATATGTACATACATAAAAATTACAAATGTCCATAAAAATACAAATGTATTCAACTGCGAGTAGGCAGGTGCATGTCAAATGGCTGCATTTCAATTGAATATCGTTCATCTGCATATGTATATACTTATTATATATGTATGTATGTATGTATATGTATGAATTGCAGCTGACTGTTCACTTAATTAAGATTCGCATGGCTGATATACATACATATACATACATACATGCTTGTACAGCGACTGCTGTTCCCCTTGAACTGCCATTAGATGCTCGTTTGCAGCTGCCGTTTTATAAGAAAAAGGCAAACGGCAGCTTTCCGTTTGACTTCCTTTTTAAATTGAATTCGCAGGTTTCCTTTTTGTTTTATTTGTTGATACCATATCGTATTTTTATTTTTTACTTCGATTGCCGGCATTTTGTAACTCGAGCACGCTTCTTTTTCAGAAGGCAGTTTAATTTTTTCTTTTTCACTTTTTTTGTGGTCGGATCGAATAATGCAGCCAACAGCCTCAACTGGTTTTTGTTTTCAGGCGCCGCATTGCAGTGACCAGATGGTCATAAATTTTCCGGAAATTGATTTTCAATTGACTTTTAAGTACGTAGCTGCATACATGTTCGTATGTTTTTTTTTTGTTTTTTTTTGTGCGTTCCCGTCAAGTAAAAAGCAGAAGCAAAGCTCGCCATGGATGTTTCATTTCTGAAGATCTGTAGCAACATGGAAAGTGGCTTTCACTGGCACCCCAAACCGCAATTCAAGTGATATTTTCAAAAGGAACCACAAATAAATGCCACAGTTTGAAGTAGAAATTGTTATTCATGAATACAAATACGTAAGCTATGTTTTTGTGTCAAGTGTTGAATATTTTTCAAATGCTTGAAACTGCCAAAGAAAATTCTTCAAGTATTTTAAAGATTCATAGAAAAATTGCTTGAGAAAAAGTAAAAAGTTTTACCCACAACTATATCAAGTATCTACATGTTCTATTGCTTTGTGCACATTATGTAATTTACGAGTATGGAGCCGAATTATGTTCGCATACTTGGCGGAAATACCTAAATCGAGGTTGGCTATAAAATCTGTCGGCAGATGCGTTTCTGCAAAGGCAAAGGCGAAAAACCGCCAGAGTAACAGCCGGACGTGCCACAGGCGAACCTTTCAAGCAGCCACACGGGTCCTCAGGTAAGTGCACAAAAAGAAGAAAAAAAAAGGAAAAACACAAGGCAGAATATGGCGCAGGTATGCTGTCAGTTGAAGGGCTTGCAACGGTCGTCGATGTGTGCTCTAGACTCTAGAGGAAGCAGCAGCAAGAGTAGACGAAAACCCAAAAGAAAAAAATGGCTGTTGAATAATCAAATAACCTTTTGCTACCTGTCTGCTTTGCTCAGCTCGGCTCAACTCAGCTCTGTTCTGCGCAGCTGCAGCTGCCGGCACTTCTCGCTCAGGTGTGCCCGTCTATGTATGTAGGTATGTATGTACTCGTATGTATGTATGTATATGTGCCTTCTCTCTCTGCAAATGACAGAATGTGTCATTCAGCCGCAATGTGAATAAAGTCATAAGTATACTTATATTTTAAAAATAGTATTTTTGGGAATATCTGCAGACATGTAGAATTCAAATACTAGATACAAGTAGGAAACAGAATTATGGAATGCTTTAAATAAATCAGAGAGTGGGAGCTTGAAAGTGAGGGAGCTAAAAAGTTGAGGCTTGTAGGACTTTATGTTTCTAAATAATAGTTCTTCATACAGCAACAAATTGCCTTAAAAAAGTTTGAAAAAAATATGCATAAGTGTCTGTC